CGGAGAGGGATCGGGCGTGCGCCATCCGCGCTGGAGGGATGGGAGGCCGCGCTCCATCAGGCCAAAGATCAGCTTCATGTTCGGCAGGTTGGCCTCACCCGAGTGGTTGCTCTCGCGCTCCGAGGGAGTGCGGCAGCCGTCGTCGGTGGTCGAATCCGTGAAGTCCATGGAGGGAGACTTGACCGTCAAGGTTGGGATGATGTGCATGCCCTCAGGGGTCTGCGCGCGGGAGACGGAGCCACTCTGCATGTTGTCGGCTACTGTCAGCTAGGCGGTCTCTAATCTATACCTCTGGATACGGGCTGGAGCCTCGTCACCTCCGAACAACACGTCTGGTGCAGTTCGCACGAGAGCAGGAAAAGAAACGCACAAACTCTGCAATCGGTATCTAGTGAATCTAGTGCGGCAGAGCCTCAAAAGGAGACCCTCCTTCAGCAACTCTGCAGGCCCGAAACTCCTGATTCCCCAGCTCCACAAAGCCTTTTTGGACTTGACTTCGCAGGGCATGGGAGTTTTTGAGATTATGCGCCCTGCAGTCCGCCAGCTCCACGGTTTTTCACACTTCTCTGTGTAGGATCCATGGAGATGTGCCCCATCAGCCAGGTTGCACACAATCTCTCAGTAGCTGCATTTGCTGGATATTGTTGAATGATCTGGTCCCCTGCTGCATGTTGCTAGGTGTTGGCTCGGTACAGACTTGCAGGTCCATACAGAACTAGTAAGATTGTACCCTAAACCATACATTTGGCAATCCAGCATGCGCCGCTGAGTGGCTGAAGCCGCTCGTGGGAAGATGTCCGGGCATCTCTCGACAGCAGTCTGGATCAGGAACTTTCGACCAAACGTAATCCAAACCCTTCAGCAGCATGTCGAAAGCTGCCCGGAGGGCGGACATTTGCAAGAGGATCAGGATCAGGAAGGAGCACCAAGGGGCGGACTACCATGCCAGGTTCTACCAGTTTTGGGAGCTTTGCTTGGAGTTTTTTTGGGGGAAATCAGGACGGGTCAGGGTGCAAGGTTCGGGACTAAGGTTTGGTGTCGTAGCGCATAAATGTGGTACTTTGGCTGTTCGGCCACGTCTTGTCATGATATTCTCATGGTAAAGAGGTTGGGAGTGGATAGGCAGAGAGAGTGGGAGAGATAAGATTTTGGCGCTGATCCTCTTGCTTCTTGGGATGTGCAGCTTGGCATGGCGCATGGGTATGACACGACCTACGAAAGGCGAGCCGATGGCCTGTTTGTACCGACGCCTCCTCGCACGGCTGCTAAACTTGATCATGCCAATGCTTGCATGCTGAGTTTGAGGCTTAGGGCTTTCAGGGTAAGGTGTAGTGCTGGCTTGCATTGCGTGTGCATTTTAGGGTTTGGGGCTTCGCCCTGATACGCGGTATGGTCCTCAAGCCCAGTCCTCAAGCCCCACCCAAAATTTGGAAGATATCCTTCTCAAGCCCCGGCCCTGCACTTTGCCGCTAGTCCTAAACCTCAATCCTCCTTGCAATATAATCTGTACAAAGCCTCAAGCCCAAGCCCCATGGCTACTTGTGATAAGCAAGGTTGTCTTCCAAACCGGCCAGAGGGCTCGACCACAAAACCTGGGAGTCTGTCCTCACGTCTGGTCCCAGCCAGCACGATTCTTGAATAAAAAGGGCCCTTAGCATAAACACATACCCGACATCATTTGCACGTACACGTATGCATGGACATACTTGTGTATACACATATATATATATATATGGATTCGCATATATACACACCAGTATCAAAGAGGACGTCTGAGTCACATGTCCGTCCTAACCTTTCTTCTACGTATTCAATTTAAGCATATCAAGTTTGGAAGACATGCATGACAAAAACAATTCAACAGTCACATTTTTTGCTTTAAGCAAGCAGTTCTTTCATTCGAATACCATAGTTGCTAACTAAGTACGCCTGTGGTTATCAACCGAAGGGTTGCGAATCTCTCTCTCTGGAGGGCTAGATGAGACGAGCCCAAACCTGAAATGGAACGAGGAGCCGGAAGGGAGAGGCACAGGAACGGGACCCCCGCCGGAACAGAACGGAACTGACGCACCAGAGCCTGGTCCGTACACCCCATACCTTAAAGTTTTGGCCTTGGGTGCGAGATTCACGTTCTCACGCCGCCTGGGGAGAGATTTTCCTTTTTGGTCCTGGATCATCTTGTTCTTGCTGGCTGTTGGGTTGCGCAGCTGGGTTCATGAACTCACAATTTCATTTTCTATTTTTGTCATTTTCTTTTTCAATTTTGATGATTTTATCTTTGGTTTGTTACAGTATACACAACTGGAGTAACGAGCAAAGCCTCATGTTTTGCAGACTCAATTCCAAGGCTAACCTGCCATCTATGTTCCCCATCCCGGTTTCAAGATAGCGGCCAAAAAACCCACATCATCAGGGAGATACGCAGCACTGCTTCCAAAGAAGCAAGAAGGATTTACGAAAACGTCGGGTTGCCTGAACTACCCTACATCATTGCCATGCTTTTGTCGGTGAAAGGGCCTGCCTAAAGAAGACTGTGACAAGAGCGTGGGCGTCTCCACATGGAGGCATTGTGACGGTGGGCGGAGACAAGGGGCCCCGAGTGCGCGCCCCTCTCCCCTTTTGGTTTTAAAACTCCCCCTGCTGGGTGCTCCCTTTTGGCCTTGCCGAAAATAACAACTTAGGGGGATCGCTCGCGCAGCCCCTACACGGCTACACCCTGAAACTTTATGATCGCAACTCCGGACGTGGGGACTCCTACAGCGATTTCACAGTGCAAGGCCTGCTCCACAGGACCTCACGAAAACCTAATCCCCCTTCAAACCTCATCCCCCCTTCGTCAGCACAGGGCTCGAAGTGACAGTTGCTTGTTCTTGAATGGGCAACAGTCTGCAGTCTGCAGCATTCACAAAAGCGCCTCATTTTCCAGGATTGTCTTCAGGCTGTTTACTGTTCTTGGGGAAGGGGTCAGCGAACGAGCGCCCGCCAATTGCACAATTCCAACCCTTAAGCTGCGAGTGGAGATGCCTGAGGGACGGCTAAGACAGATGGTTGCCGTTATCAGAACCAAGCTTGTTGCAGAAATGCTACATGCTGAGAAACCAGCCCAAACTACTGTTGAATGTTTGCTGCAGCAAGTCTGACGGCAGCCAGCGGCACAGGCTCAGTCCGTCTCACGGCGCCTGCTGGCCCTGCTTGCCACGGCGGTTGGGCTTGGGGGCGCGGCCGCGGGCGGCGCGAGGGGCAGCAGCGGCTTTCTTCCACTTGCAGAGGTGGCAATGGTCGCAGTTGGCCCCGTCCTTGCAGCCTTTGCCCTTGGAGGCGTACTTGCAGGCTGGGCCGCAGCTGTAGGGATGGCCTCGCGAACCAAAGGAAACACAAAGGGGGTACTGCATGCCGGTCGCCTCATTCACCTCCTCGGCGGGTTCCTCGTTCACTTCTTCATTGTCTGTCATGTCAGCCCATGGGCTACGTGGAGCCTTGGGTGCACACGCCTGCATGAAGGAGTTCATGAACTCTTGGGACAAGGCGGGCATCGGCAACGGCGGCTCTGGTGAGGGCGTCTGCAAACGCAGCCATGGCTGCTGAGCAGGGCTTGGGGAGCGTCCCTTCTCCTCCAGCTGGCGGCCACGAGCGCAGCGAGGAGTAGGCTGCTGCTCGTCCGCCTCCTCGATGAACTCCGTGTAGGCGGCGCATTTGGGAAGGCCGGTGCGGGTCGGAGAGGGATCGGGCGTGCGCCATCCGCGCTGGAGGGATGGGAGGCCGCGCTCCATCAGGCCAAAGATCAGCTTCATGTTCGGCAGGTTGGCCTCACCCGAGTGGTTGCTCGCGCGCTCCGAGGGCGTGCGGCAGCCGTCGTCGGTGGTCGAATCCGCAGACTTCACCTGCGCCATGAATGCTGGCATCACATGCATACCCTCAGGGGTGTGCTCCCGGGAAAGCGACATGACGAATTGGCTGGTCGAACTATGCTATCAAGGTCTGTTGCCTGATGCCGAGTTGAGCCACTGCTCGCCGCCCCCAAGGAATTGTTCCCATCTTTCGCTTCAGCAGGCATTGCTTCGTGAGAAGTCCGCTAGAGCTCCGAACGTAGGGAGGTTCTTCAACTTTTGCAAGGTCAAACTGTATGGCATGCACAAGGACAAAGCCTCATTCCTAAACCTTCTCTTAAGGAATATACAAGGAGGGACCTCTAGAAGGGACCCTTCATCTTACTCCCCTATAAAACCCATGTATGTATGTATATGTTTATATATATATATATATGCATGTATACCATATTCTATAGTCCCTACATACCTAAGTAGCCCCTCATGAGGCCCCTACATTACCCCTAAGGTCCCCTATAAGGCTCCCTCCTTTAGTCCCTTACACAGCCAGACCCCAGAACACGAAATATCTGGGTGCATGCCTGAAGCCGAAAGCCTCCATCCTCTAAGGCCCTCAGCTGCCTTTGACGTTTCCCATCTTTCCCAGCAGAATCATCCTTCGCCCCCCCGCCCCCCCATACGTGGTTTGGGGGGAGGGCATCCTGACAGAAAGTGCCCGTGCATCCCAGTTGCTCAAATCCAAGTTGCTTGATTCAGCCCTCCTGTAAAACCCTGCGATGGCTTTTCCGAGTTTCGGAGTTGATACGCGCGTCGCGAGCCAGCCTTCGGGAGGGTTGGGATAGTTAGTTTAGGCTGATTATGCCTTGGGTTCGTAGTTTAGGATGTTCAACATAGGATTGCGTAAGAAAACCAGAAGGCCATAAACTAATTGGGATTCAAAAGCATCGGACTAACGGAAGGGGCGTGGTTTTCTGGTCATGGATTGGCCTCATCTGGGTCTGCTGATCCATATCTGCAACCGGATCTCGCCCCAGAGGCTTTCCACCTAAAATGCTTCTTATGCCAATCCCCTGCCGGCAACTCCAACTGCATCCTGCACACCAAAACTTGTTTATGCGCAACAGGTATCCGCAAACCCGGATCACGTCGTCGTCCTGGAAGGTCAACTTATTCCTAACATCGTGTTATACTTGCAGTGTGTGCCCGGAACCCAAACAGCCCGCTTCGAAGGACCTCATCCGAACAGATCGAAGTCCATCTCCTCTTCCTCTTCCTCTTCTTCGACCTGACATTGTGGCTTTAGGCCTCCGTTTGGTTTTAGATTTTAGAGGCGACCTGGGAGTTTGGGGCTTAGAATTCGGAATGTGCCGTTGAAGGGCCTTGGGCTCTAGCGTAAGGCTTGGTTGTTCCTTCATTGCCTGCATGTCGCAAACATTTGCTGGAGCTGGTGCTGTTGTACAAAGATCTGGCAAGAGCATCGGCGACGAATAGAGAACTTCCCAAACTAACTTTGTGATTGGGAGCGCAGCCATGCACTTGTCGGACAATTGAATAATCACAGCCTACCGGCGCCTTGTTCCTACTTGTGCTACTGCTCTTTGCGAACTGCTGCCTTCTTCTCCTCCTTCTTCTCGGCAGGTGCACCGCCACCATCCGCTCCCGCCTGAGACTTGGACCCCGAGCATTTGCAGGGGCACGTTTGGGGACTTGACATGTGGGCTGCGAGGGTGAGCGCGGTATGCCCTTGCGTGAAAGAGCTTGAAGCTTAAGTTCTATGTGCTGTGTGCTCGGGGCAAGAGTTCAGCAGTCCCAGTAAAGAACAACAAAGCCTGATTACAACGATCTTTTGCCATCAGGTGACAGAACAACTCGCAGTGGCTGCCCTAAGAATTAAGGGAACGCACATAGTATAGAGAATATTGCAAAAGAACACAGTGTATGGTAGTAGTCTATGGTAGTCGTAGATTGCATGCAGCACAGGGCACTGGAATATGTACTAGTATGTTGTATCGTAATGTAGTATGAAGGGTGTGGTGTGGTGTGGCATGCTTGCTAAGGTATCGTGTACTAACAGATCGCACAACGCAGTGTAGTCAACAGCCGTTTTGGTTCCCGAACGGCACCACCAGTATCAAATGGGAATGCAAGACGCCCAGCCACACAGCCTGAAGCCGTCCACGCCCCATGAAGTCTTGCCATTCCCTAGGAAACTCTGGCACTTGATCCAAGGCCGTGACAGCCCCTCCAGCCATAGGAGCCCCGCCGCCTCCGCCGCCGCCGAACTTCAGCATGGACTCCTTGGCCGGGTCGAAAGAGATATGTGGGTTTCCGAACATATAGGTACCCTTTTGAGGGCTCCTTATTTTAAGGGGATCCTACTATTTGGGGGGCCTATGTAGGGTTGTAGGGTGCCCCTTCCTAAACCCCCATATACAGGCAGGCCTCAAGGCAGGCTTTTGTGATGTAGAGTAGGGTCTACGCTCTGATGTGGGGATTCTCTCACGGCGACGCATCGAACTTCATGAAAAACGCTCACGCTCCAGACGAAACACTTTGTCAGCCCAATGCTGCGGCCCCATGTTCTATCCAGATTTACATCCCTGTCGGTCTTTTAAACAACGTAAAGCTATACAGGCTGCATCCAATTCGCCAACTGAGGACTTGCTTGCAAGAGCTTACGTGCTTCCAGGATTAGCTTACCGCGCCATTGCCTGTTGATGAGGCATTGATGTGCTCTGATCACCTACCACCTATATATTACGACGCTTGAACCCCTACCACCCTGAGCACCATCCACGTAGTCATCGGCAGACGTTTATATAGGCCGTAGTGCCTGATCTTATCCTGAAACCTTGGCCAATGTCAAGACCTTTGCAGCCACGCTTCCAGGTCCTTTCCTTGGCAGAGCTTAGCAAAGAGGGCTGGGAAGAAGGAGTCGATGGAACCACCTGCGGCCTTGTTTCGGGGACCCCGACTTCACATGCTTTCGCCAGAAGCTGTCGCTGGGTGGGTAGGTGGGTGGTTGGCCGAGGGTCAGTTGTCGAGTTTGGACCATTGGTTAGGTAAATTGGGCAGGTACAGTAGGTAGGTACAGCAAGTGCCTTCAAGTACAGGTGTAGAGGTGTGAATGCATAGGGCTTTGGGGTCGTGAGTAAGCGGCCTCGGATTCGAAATGTCACACAGCACTGCGCCGCAAACAGCAATGTCTAGCAATGCTTCTTGAGAGCAAGGCGCAATGCAGGAAGGAATGCGAATACCCACCCGCAGCGGCTTGCGGCTGCCATGAGTGCGAAACTTTTTAGTATGACTCCTGAAAGATGCCCGTCACAACTGCACCAATCCTTGATGAGTGCGTTGAGGTTGTCCTCAGTGATGTCAAGCTCGCTGTCCTGAATGTCACACTTCACATTGGGCGTAACAAGGCTTTTCCACATCTGTTCGGCTGAAAATTCCAGCTTAACTTGCCCTGCCCTGCCTGATGTGACATTCATCCGTGATTCTGATCATTGCTCGGGCCTTGAGCCTCGGAAGACCCTCACTACTCCGCGATGTGCTCTTGTCCCCGTGCATCCTTGAGGATCATTGCGGCGTAAGCGCAGAATAGCTCATCCTTCTCGGCCTTGTGGGTCAGCGGGAGGGTCTGGGACTTCGGGTTAAGGCTTTGCTCATTCATTGCTCAGCCACGGAGTTTGGGTCTGGGAAGGTGGCGTGACTTCTGGCAGGTGCTCAAAACAACCCTGGGGACATCTCGAGCAGCTCATATGCAGTCGAGTGCCATGCTTCAGCATGCTGGAAGAAAAGGCGGAAAAAGCTGTGGAACAATGGCATATTTCTGTGGGCTTACAAGCTTCAGCAGCTTCAGCCATCGATAAAAACACCACATGCGTCCCATCCATTGTAAAGTGCTGTGATTTTACCCGTACTCCCCGACCCGATTGAGAGGGGTACCGTACTCATGCACTTGACACATCTCCGCGTTACAGGTATTCTTCAGCAGATGGTCACAGAGTCCATGTTCAAGACTCAAGACATTTGTCGCACTGCCCCCAAAGCAGGTTCTCGACTCGGCAGTTCACACCCTAAACATGTGCACTCCGATACCTCGCACGAAGTCAACTATGCAATGAAATGTATAGGGTGGCTCTTGTGATCTTGCTCAGCGTCCCATTAGGTTTGAGGCTTACATGTATGTTTGCACTGACCCCCTCATATCGAGACTTTTAGAGGGATCGCGCCTGAGGAACCTCACTGGCAGGGACTTCGGCCATGATCCTCAAGGCAAAGAGGCATGGAGAGAGCAGGTTGAGTGTGCGCGAGATAAGGTTCACAGTCTGGTTCTGAGTGTTGGGTTCGTCTGAAGGTTGCGGCTCTGCCCAGTATGGTCACAATTTTTCGCTCGTTTGCCTACGACCAATTTCACCCCTGACTCAAATCGAAAAACGCGGACCAGCACAGATGATGTTGGGACCCCATGTCTGCAGCTGGTCAAACCTGGCTATGGGCGGCCAAATGAACCGGAGTGATTTGTGAAATTGGCATTTGGGTTTAGGATTGCTTTGAACGGAGGTCCAATAGAAGCCGGACAGCATCCGCATTGAATTCATCCGCTCTCCACAAACCCGAGAATTCCATTCACAGTACTGGACCCCGCCCCCTCCCATGCACCTATCGACCAAGCTAAACCCACCCTGAACCCGAGATGGCCAGGGGCCATGAAGTCATAGTTCTGCCAAGACACCTAGGTCGCAAGCTCCGGAAACCACGTGAGCCCGCTCGGCGGCAGGATGGCAGGTGTAAGCCGGATAAATGGCGATGGGGGTTTTCTTGTGAGGGAAGCATCTAAAGCCCTTGTCCAGACGGAAGCCAAATCTCATGTGCAGGTCTTCAGGAGTGGCATTAGGGCTTAGACTTAGCACAAACATGTTTTGCTTTTTTTGTTGCAGGGATCAGGGTCTGTACTTTCCTTTGGTGCCTCTCACCATTCACCATGGCTCCCTGACCCTGCGCCAAAAGCCTACCACTGGGAAACACCAGCATTCGGCTCCTGCAAGCAACAAAAAGTTACCTAAGTGACAAATCCTTCATGGATCTGTGTACTTTAAGCATCCAACATACGGTTCTCATGCCTCTCTTTTTCAAAGACTTTAGCAAAAACTAACGCGTTGCAGTATTGCATGTCTGCGCACAGTTCTGCACAGCTGAACAAATGCATGGACTCCTTCGACATGTAGCTGATGTTTTGAGGGCGGTGAATTTAGGAGACTATAGCTTCCTGTGCGCCGTCTTGTGAACCTCTACGGGCTAAAGCGGCTAAAGGTAACACGAGCAAAAGGGATTTTGCCTCAAACAGGCGGGTCGGGGGGGGCCTTTACAGCTCTTCCCGATTTCATACCCGCGACGCGAGCCAATCCGGAACTGCGCCCAGTCTCTGCATGAGTCGCAGTCGATCTAGTTCTTGTTTCGTTCCTGGCATGGGAAAACAAGGCTGCCACCTTGGAGTTTGGACACAGGGTTTTCTGGGCAGCTTCGCGACAGTCTGACGGGATGTTTGCAGAGGTGCTGTGAATTCTTAAGAGCTACTTCTCAAGTCCCCGACCCTTTAGATCTGGGCTTCGCCAGGCGCCGAGGAACATTCACTGTTTGTCTTTTAGTGCTAGAAGACATGCTCGGATTTGGGCTTTTGGGTTACTGCAGGTAAACCGGTGGCAACCTCCAATCCAGGTGACAGCCCAACAGGGTGAAATGAAGATGTGTTGCCTCACGGTGGCCACCTGCGCCGCTGCTGTGCTTGCAGGGTTTGTTACGTATTTTGCATAAGGCCGATCTAGCCGCTAATCTAGCCCTATTGCAAGGGATCAATTCATGCACGAGCCAGTGCCTTCAAACGAGGCCTGATTTTAGCTTGGACTACGTGGCTTGATAAGTGGTTGCTGGCAGGTCTTCAGGACTTAGTTTGAATGTGGGACCAAAGCAATCTTAGAGCGGTGGAGCGGAGAAAGCCTCAGCTGAAAATTTGAAAACTGGGAACTTCCTTCGGATGTCTGCAGAGCTCAAATGTGTGGGGTATGAGCAGCTGGTTCTATGGGGGGTCTTAACAGCTGGACATATCTAGTGCAAGGGTGACGTAACCCTGTGCTCGCGGAGCTTGTTGAGAGGCAAGGCTTTTGATTGTTACATGAAGTTACATGGCCTACAGATGTCAATGCGGTTGCTTTCTGAGATCCAAACATAAGTGATGGAGTAGCGAGCAGTTCCGTGCCTGAGGCGCCATCCCTCCCGGCGCTCCAAAACTGCCATTGCCCGTCTGCTTGGATATCAAGCAGGCAGAGCGCCCCGGGGAGAACCCGGCCAAGTTGCGGAAAAGACCCGGCACACAGACACAGCCCCCAAGAGACAGTACCAGGAGCTGAAAGCCCAGCAGGGCATCCAAGTTTAAGCAGCAGCAGCAGCAGCAGCAGCGGCAGCGGCAGCGGCAGCGGCAGCGGCAGCGGCAGCGGCGGGGGCGGTGGCAGCGGCGGTGGTAGCAGCAGCAGCGGCGGCGGCGGCGGCCGCAGTAGCAGCAGCAACGCAAGGCCCAGCAAGGCACCCAGTAGCCAGCAGCTGCGCAGCAGCAGCCAAGGGACTGATCCGGGTGTGGGGTCCGACTGCGGTGCACCGGCAGTCGCATGCGGCCAAGTCATGTGACGGCGCCCCTGAGCCTACCACCGCGCAGTGGCCCCCCACACACAGCTCAAGGTGAGATCATGACATGAAACTATGAAGCCTGTACTGATCCGAAAAACCAATTCAAACTTGGAATGCCGACATAAACTACCAACGTGCCAATGCTTGAACTCCGTCTTGTGCCTCAAGGGCCAACATGGCGAACTCTACTATGGCATCCCGAAAAAAAGGCAACATCTGCGCCGTGCCTCAGGTGGGGCGCAAGGCATTGGTGAGGGCCTCACCGAGACAACACAACACCTCAACTGGGAGCCCAAGCCTCTCCTCTATTTTGTCGTATTAAACTGGATTGAAGCATTTGGGGATCCATTCAGTTGGATCCAGCTTCGGGGCTGGAGTCTACAAGCCGATGGCAGTGATAATCTGCCAAACACCAGCCTCTCGGCACAACAACACAGCAAGGCCCAAACACACTCACAGACTCATATCCTAACCGTCCTAACCTCCCGAACCACCCCCAAACTCCCAAACATTCCCAAACCACACGGATCCCATCCAAACTTTCATCTTTGCATCTAGCAGCTCCACCCTGTTTCGGACTGTGGATTCGGGCTAGAACTCCGCAATTTCCGAACCAGCCTACACTTTCAACTGACGTTCTGCACCTTGAAGGTGGGGGCTGCGATGGTCAAACCAAAGATTGCGAACCCTTGCTGGCCACAGGTCGCTACTTCAACCTTCGACTGTACCATCCGTCCCACCTCAACTCAAGCCTCACCCTTGACCTTCAACCGCCCCAAGACAGGGATGCACCGTTGAGGCCTTTCGAATGGCGGATGCTTTTTCGTTGCTGGCTGCCCTCGGCAGGTTGGGCCAGGGCATGCTGCTGGAAGGGCACGGGGCAACTGGCTGAGGGAGCTCCATTCCATGTCTTGGGGAGTTTTCGTGCCCACTGTTTTTCAGCTTACAGCCGGGCACGCAACAGGCAAGCAGCTTGGCAAGCATCAAATTTTGCAACAATGCCTGGGGTCCTGGGGCACCGAGCACGACGAAACGACAGTACTATCATGTTTGTGCTTCGCCCAGCTGGGTCTTTTAGAATGAGTTCGCTTCAGCGGCGTAACTTCCCTACTAATTAGGTCCTGGCATTGGGCATTGGGCATGCTGCGTTTTCAGGCTGCCTGAGATTCAGAGTAGAATCGACGCCTGTCACGAAGCACTCTGTGTAAACAAATGGAGTGACAGCACGTTGTACCACCCGTGAAGACGTCTCAAGCAGGGGACAACGTAAACCTTGCAGCCGAGCACACAACCTTAAACTCGACAACGCTAAGCCACCAGCTGCCTGCAACGTGTATCATAAACCCACCACCCTTCCCCTTGCCAGAAAGACTGCGCAGTTCATCGCGAAAACGTTACGCCCACAGCAAACCAGCGGTCCAAGAATCCCGAAGCCAAATCCCACAATAAACCACAAACGAACAAAGCAGAGCCGCTTCTTGGGACCAGCTAACACTGCCCGTCCGTACCTTCGGCTTGGAAGCTTCAGGGGCTCAGGCTTGTTATCATGGGTGCTTTCGTTGGCTTTGGGGAACTTTCAGGCGTTCCAGAATTGTTTGAGCTCCCCTCCCAACTCCACCTCTTGATTGGTTCCGAAATCCTAAACGAAGGCCGAAGGTTTTGGACGATGGCCTTCGTAGTAGCTTCCGGTTGAGGCTCATGATGCCAGTGCAAAGAATTGCAAGCCCTGACAATCTAAGCACCCCAGGCATCCCAAACCTTGAAGCCAATAGAGGGGGGCTTGCGGCTCGCTTTCGCGCAGGAGAAAGCCTCCCTGAATTCCCGCGGGTAGTTGGGTATTCATCCTTTGCACTCCCACAGCTTAAAGACTTTCGTAGGGGGGGTCGGGGTGGGGTGATGGCTTATTAATTGTGGAATTTTGTGGCCTGGATGAGGTGGGTAGTGGTAGGAGTGCTAGTGCTGGGAATGGCAGGTAGTGGTGGGTCTGGC